GATCTCGCACGGCTCATGAAGAGGAGGTGAGACGGGCCGAAGGAGTCGGAAGAGGTGATATGGGAGATGAGAAGAGCGAGCGAATGCTTCCGACTGCAGTTCTTTTAGGCAAGGTGATGAGCTTGGATTCATGTTTGATCAGTACTCCTTGCTCACTCTTCCGAAGGTCAGTTCTGAGTTGAACGAAGGCCCCAAAAAAGTGGGGTGGCCAATGTGCTGCGGCATCGCCGTGACGACACTTAAGCGATTCGGACGTCAAGCTGCGTGGAAGGAATCCAAAAAGGGCGCGCTCTAGGAGCCGGTGGCAGATGGTGTGATCGCGGCCAATTGGTGTGAGAGATGTATGTTTTGTGTGCCTTCCCCCAAGGTTGACAAAACTTACTGTATTTTGTTATATACTGTAAGATTGTTTCGGGTTGACCAAACAGATTTCGGGTTGACTGTAAGATATGTGCCTTCCCCCAGGGTTGACCAAAACAGACATGTGCTGTTTTGCTCCTTTTTGTTTGGTTTTTGAGAGGTCCGTGTCATGGTGGTTTCGGATGGGTGGAGACAGTGATCTCTGTGAAACCCACGACCTCGCAGGGCCCCACAGCCTGCGTCCGATGCTTCCTGTTTCGACCGGCCATCGGGCCGGGCCATGGGGCCGTGGCACCAAAAACCTGGAGAGCCCTTGGAGAGCACGGGTTCCAGTGTCCAGTTCGGGTGGTTGGTGCTTCCTTGAAGGAACATCATTTGAGGACAACATAATGTAGACTGTTGATGAACAAAGCCAGCATATGGAGATGTACAACAATTCTGGCAGAGGGTTTTACTGATCAACAGTAGTCGACATCAGGACAACAACCTGGCCATTCAGTGGCGAATCTTTAACCTTTTGGGGGAGTGGTTTCCCATGGTTTCCCTGCTGCACATCTCAAAGAAATGAACGTGGAGCCAAGGTGAACCATCTTTCTGGGAGGAAACCAGTAACCACCTAAGGGCCAGACAATGATCTCAAACTGAAAGGTGGGCATTTGCCGAGGCCTTCCAGTTGCCATCTCTTAGCCGAAGCCTTGACCTGGCTGAGTCAGGCTGGACGTGTTTGAGGGGCGTATCCAGCAGAGCTTTGGACAGGAAGTGAAGTGGGTGTCATGGATTTTCCCCTTTCCCGTTGAATGTGCGCCGGAAGCTGTCAGAACTTTTGACCGCTTGTTTTTCCAAGTTCCTCCAAGTTCAACTTCCGCCACACCATGAAGTGCGAGAACTCTGTGGTCCAAGTTGCAATGGCTCTGGAGTTTGGGTTTTGAAGAGTTTCCCTCCCAGCAAGTCCAGGGGAATTGGTAGAACCTGGAGGTTCTTTGATTCCCCCCTCTCCTTGGATCTATAGGCCCCAGGCCTAAAACACACTTAGTTAAAGGTTCATTCAGTTCCATAATCCGCGAGGAAAGGAATGAGGGAACAGCAAGGTGGCGGAGTCAGCAAAACAGAAAGGTTTTAACAACTTGTTTCACATTAGCCCTTTACAACTAGTTACTGAATACTTAGCGGACTTGAATTATGGCCGTGCAATAGTTAGGGCTAGGGAGCGAGACCGCCCGGGTAGAGTATAGACTCGAACAGGGACAACAGAAGGAAAGGCACCGACACACAAGTGTATCGAGTACCATTTCCTTCTGTTACCCCTGCAGGTGCGTTTACAGCCCTCACCAGTGGCCTCTTCGGTTGCCATCTACCACTGGTGAGAGGGATGGCCCCCCGCAGACTGTAGTTTAATTTTAAACTCCTGGATACGGATTGCGAGTGCGCACGCACGCACACACGCGACCGTCAGAAGAAGCTCGTAAGAGTTTAATTCCCGGTGGTACCAGATGTGCATTATATATATACTGTAAGCCTTTGATACGCTTTGCGATCTATGGCCGTGAACAAAGGGCGAAGAGTCAGGAGCGGTTTACCTCGATCATCGAATGAATGAGAATCTGCAGGCGAGGTTCATGGCGTCCATGAACTCTTCCACCGAACTTCCAAAGCTGTTGCCTCCGCTGCTTTTGAACGAAAGCGTGCAGTCTGAAACTCGAGACTCGTCGTTTTTTATGCGTCCGGTCTGAATGCCTAGGTGAAACAAGTTCCTAGGCAGAGCGAGTGCAAAGGAGTCCAACCATGGAAGTAGGCTCCGCCTTCTTAAGCTTGTTTTTTTGATTTTACTGTTTGCGTGGGGGCTTGATGAATCAGAATGATTTGGAAAGTATAAAGTCTATGGAAGGCCGAGGCTCCAGTTCCAAAACGTGGAAGACCAAGCGGCGAATGCATGTTTGCAGACCTGAACCATCCTGCAACAGGCTGAGAACCTCTACGAGTGGAAGGTGGCTACAATGTTCACAAACATAGCAGGCACATGCAGGTACACACTGATGTCTCCATCCGCTTCCACTCCAGCGGTTTAGCTTCCTTGCACAAGGTTCATCGCTGGAGGCCTTGCCCCCGTGCTTGATACAACACCTTAAAGGCCCTCTATGATGAAAAGGGATACACACACACACACACCAAAAAAACACGCAGGCCCTAAGGAAGCCGGCACCGTCGTGGGGCCCGAGATCGGCTGCGAGCCGGGGCGCTGGGTTCCGCAGACGAGGTGCGGAAGATCCAAAAATTCCTCACAAATTCCGAAGGCATTTTGGAACCAAGATGGACAGTGCACATGCCCATGCTTTGTCTAGTGTGATTTTTGCTGTAAATTTCCGGTCATGTTCTTATTGTTTCCCAGCCCTGAATAAGCAAATGCAAGGTCCCATCGTTGTATAATTTCTTCCGTGAAGTCGCCCATCTAGGGGCTCAAAAGTTGGGGGTGTCCCAGTACCTGTAATAGACGATAAAGTGATAAACATATTGGAGAAACGCTTTGACCAACCATCATCATCCACTGTTACAGGGAACGGGATTTACCCACCATTGGCTGCCTAGCCCCTTCCAGTAGTTAGATCAGCTGCGTGGAAGTGGTATTTATGGGATTCAATCTCTGTGGGTGGATTCAACATGGGTTAGGCCCGTAAGCCTTGGACTCTGGAAGCAGAAGGCGGTTTTTGCTGGGAAGACTACACTTTCCTTTCACAAACAGAATGCGATCCGTTGTGGGTTCTGTCGCCTTGCAGGTCCATCTCCGACATGAACAACACAGTTCGACAGTATTTTTAATATCTTGATCAAGGTGCCAGCAGTTCTCAGGCTTCGTTGGGTAGGGGTGGTTCCAAGCATGGCCGCACTTGGGCCGCGCGCCCCGAGGCCAATGCCCGATATTGAGGCGAGGGGTGGGACTGGAAGCACGGGACCGCCCTCGGTGAACGGTTCTCGTTGAACCCTTTTGCACCTGATGCAGTGGGAGTCCTGGATCCATTGGGTTGGGGAAGCCTTCGATGTTGCAGTGACAGCTCCGGTTAGGGGGGTCCTGAACTGAGACTGTTCGAGGACCACGGTCGTTTACAGCGGTTTGGAGGCGGGGGTCTAGTCTAGGTGGTGCAAAAGTGTTGTTCCACCCACCGCTGCCCTATAGGACCATAGGATGTCCTGCAACAACCCAGAAGTCCAAAGACTAAACATGAATTACACATTTTTGCCCACTGAAGTAAGGATGCTCCAGGATGCTTCCTTTTGCCACGGAATAGCCGAACGGACTCCCAAGGCCGAAGCACAGCACCCGCCGAAGCACCTCCAAGTCCTTCCAACAGACCGACATGAAACTGGGAATAGATGGAGTGCAGACTTCACAAGTCACACAGCTGTGCAGCTGTGGAACCTGAAAATGGACCTTTGGAAGACTGGCTGCCTCCAGCTGCATCAGTGGTTTTCATGTTCCATGTTCATCTTCCAGGATCTCCAGGGCGTAATCAAGCTGCTTCTGCAGGGCGTGACCTGTGTACCTCTCCTGGTCGCGAACGGTGGATGAGAACGCACCCAACCGAAGGGACTCACGAACTGAAGAAGCAACTAATGAACTGGTGGCTTGCGGCCGAGGCCTTGCACTGCTGTGCAGGGATCGATCATGATGCCGGGGACGATCTTGGAAAAGCGGTGCTATAATGGTCTGAGGTTGTGTTCAACAGGTGGTGCTCAGATGTAGGGCTTAAACAGGAAGTGGACTATCAAGCAAATATGAAAAAGCAACAAAAGCAAAGCAATGGGCTGAACCACTGGTCACTGGTCCGATGAATTCTCGGAACATTGTTCCTGGCCTGCTCTGAGGGTTTTTGGTCGATGGTGTTATATTTCAACCCTTCACTATTCACTTTCAGTGAGTGTTTAACTGCGATGGGTATGACATTAGCTTCAACGTTTGCAGTGGAAAGCATGATAATTTAGTATGGTTCTCACATTTTGAGGAGAACATCCATTCTTCGTTCTGAAATTCTCATCCCGGTTCTGAACATCTTCTCAAAATGCTTTCCGCGTTCGAAGGATTTGCACAACTCTGTGGAGAGCCCCACGGAGCTGGACGCCGAGGAGTGGGCTGACCGATGGTGACACCAGTGGTCACAAGTGTCATCCCGGGGGAAAGGGAGAGAAGGTCAAAAGTTGTGAAGTCATCATAATTCTAGGTGGTGGTTTTGGAACCAGGCTTTTTTTCTCTCAACTATGTGTTTGCTTGTGGAATGCCACCCCGGAGTCTAGCTCATCTCCCATGTCATCAATTCTGCCATGGCTACTCAGAGTTTGTGGCTGTATGTCTTTCCTCCGTGCCCACACACCCAGACGCACCTGTTTGCTTCGGGGAGGCGTGGCTTAGGAACCTGTGGTCTCTTGTAACATTGACACCGAAAAAGCAGCAGGTCACTACTCTACGGCAATGCATTGTAGAACACGCTACTGAAGATGCCAGGAAATGCTTAGTAACTCAATGAGATTGAGTTTACGGACCCGAAATAGATCCATGTCTAAAAAGTGCTAAGGATAATCAGATTACACGACGTGCGTTATTTTTTTGTATAATGTATTTCCATTTGTCCAATCTCTCCAAAATCTACTGTTACTGTTCATCGTTGACGCATCACATGCGTCAATTTGCTGCGGCTGTCCTCTTGGTCAAGCGCAGCACGCTACTGGAAGAGCTTGTCAGCCTCCGCCAAGCAGCCATGGATTGGGCCCGTTCCAAGCTTACCTCAGTGTCCTGCCTTTGCTGAGCACGCCGTCGATGTGCTTTCCGGACTTAATCGAATGTAAATACCAGTGCATTTGGTGCGGGCAGTTTTTTGCATTTGGGTATTTGCCACAAAAATAGATAGAGATATTTAGAGAATTATAGAGATGATTTATTAGCAAGATGTTCAATATTGATCACAGGACCTTACCTTGACATCGCCTATTTGCAGGGGTATAGGCTATAGGTCCTTACCTTGACATCACCTACTGTATTTGACTAGGTGAATAGGTCCTTTCCCCACCTATGTTCAGCTGAAACAATCCCAGGTCTCCTCCTCCTTGAAGACCTTTCGCCGCAGCAAGAGCAAGGATGCCTCGGCTGATCAAAAGGCGGGGGCCTCTTTTGCGCCTTGTTCATGATATTGCCCCAACAATGCAGTTCATTGCAGGTGTTCATTCCATGTGTCCTTTTCTCATGCATGATACTTCAAAGAGTTGAGATCCGACTTTTGATGCTTCACTTCCCTCACCAACCTCTTCGTGCTACGGAGCGACCGCACACAGAAACGCAGACACACACCGACCGAAGCTGCCCGGACCCGGCGCCCTCAAAAGGCCCAACGGTCAGTCCTTGGGCCATTGGGGGTGGGCGGCATCGATGCACAGGTGCTAGGGAACCACCAAGACTAGATCCGGTAAACGTCAACCAGTATACACCAGAAGGGTCCTGAATCCTGAATCTTTAGTGGTGTCAGTCACCTTGAACCACGGATGGCCCAGAAACACACAGTCACCAAGTTTCAGGGGGACAAGAGTTTCATGCATGATAACTGACAACTCTTGACCCTTTTCAGATGGTAAATGGATCTTGATCCATCACCAACCCCAGATGGCCCTGCTTCGGCATCGTGCCCAGCCGCTTCTTCTTCTTCTTCTTCTTCTTCTTCTTCTTCTTCTTCTTCTTGTGCCGTGCGTTGGACGCCAGGAAGACCCACACATGGTGGCGCCGCACCCCATTCCCAAGGGAATCCTGGAGATTAAGATGGGCTCAGATAGGCCCTAGGGTGGGACTTCGCTTCGCCACCCCACAAGGGTCATGAGGGAACCTCAAACCCACGAGGGTTGTTATTCAGGAACGCACTTGTGTGTGTGTGTGATTTGTTTGGAGCACCGGGGAAAAGGTGGGTCCCAAGCCTTCCGACTGAAGAGGTGAGGTGAGGTGAGCTTCCCCAGAGGAAGGAGTCCAGAAGAGTTCGGAGCGCAAGGAACCAGCAAAAGATACGAACATGATGTTTTCATGTCATACATTACACATAACAAATACCAAGCTTTGCTTGTTGGGTCATAAGCAACACCCATCATTTTGTAGTTATTGTTAGGTGCGTGTGTGTGTTTTACAGATTTTACTTATTCTGTATATACTAGCAGCATGATGCTGTTAGATAGAGAGGAGTGAGCTTATTTTGCCACCCCTCCCAATGTTTCCAGTGGGCCAGTTACTTGCCACTGGTGACGTGCGCTACAATGGCACGTGGGCTGTGACTGGGTGGCCCAACACATGCAGGAATACCGAAGGTGTGTCCCATTATATACTGTATATATACCAGCAACAGTCGGTAAACAATTATCACTACTTTTGAGAAAGGTCAATCATGCAGTATTACTGGGCACGGGAGAAACCGAATTATATACCGAAATCGTAGTAAGAAATATACCATTTTCGACTGTTCACCTGTTCTTTCTTGCAGGTGTGTTCTTCAGGCAGGCCGAGCAGCCCGCCGCAAGCGTCCCCCGGCGAGACGTCTTCGCCACCGAGGAAAGGAGAATGTGCCCTGCCCCATCAACGGGATGTTTCTCAGCAAGGAGGCTGAGGAGGCACGAGAAGAACTTGAGAAGGATCCTGACATTCAGGAGGACCCTGGTGGATGTGCAAATCGCTTGCTACGGTACGGATTGTTTTCTCGCTGGCGCATTGTGTGTGTGTGTGTGCGCACGCACCCAGGGAGAACTGATGCAAGGTATATATCGTCGGAGTTGTTGATCAAGGGCTTGCACAAGAGTCTTCCTAGCCTTTACTTTGTCAGGCCTGGTGGTCCGTGATTCAAGTCTATTAAAATCACATGGGGGCCATCGCTGCCTTGCGGCTTCTCTCGATTGCTTCACCCTCTTCATCCCTCTTTGATTTACTATATGCAAATTGTTGGTTGTATCAGCAGGGGCGGCAGACATGGAGCCTCTCACCGAGCCTTCAGCCTTCATGCCAATAAGCTTGCCACTGACTAACATGGAAGTGGATGGCATGCCCCTGTCAAGACAAGGTCCCCTTTACAACTGGCTAGGACTAGGAGTGGTCTTCACTTCCTCCAGGGTTGTCCACTATGGAGCTCTTGCATGTGGCAGATAACCTCCAATGGATTGAATGTCATGCAGGACTTATGGGCCTACTTGTTGGCAGATCGACATAAGGAATCGCCGGGGAAAATTATGAAGGATAGAGTATAGAGGCAAGCAAGGAGCATGACCTAGAGGCAACATGGCTGCGTAGTCTTCGGACATGTTGTTGGCCACTAAGGATCCAAGATCGAAATCATCCAAGGTAGGACCACCGTGGCGCAGGTCGGCGACCAACTCGTCGCGTCCAGAATCTGCGGTCCGCATCGAGGAGCGCAAGGAGGAGAAGCAAGCACTCGTCCCGACCAAGAAGCTCCGGGACTTCATTCCGATGCAGGTGAGCTGGGTGGCACGAGTCCGGCCAGGCGGACTCGTTGGCCATAGATGGGGCCACTCAAGTGTTGAAACTGGATTTGGTGGGTTGAGTCAGGTGCAATCCTGAAAAGGTGTTCTGTATGGGACCCCTATTCTAAAAGGACAGTGAACACAGATGTGGTCTTTTTGGGGGGGATTGGGTCTTGGCTGCCGTATCTAGCACTTCAGAAAGCCCTCAGTGACGGGAGGATCGATCCCTAGCTTTTCGGAATGCCTTTGGATTCCACATGGAACTTGGCTTCACCTTAAACTCATGGCAAGATTGATTGCACCAACGGGGTTGGACCTTTAGAGCGTGGTAGGGTTTCCAACACACTGGCCTGTTCAAAACACAATTTGTTGGTGGTGGTTGCGAGGCTACTGAAACGGGGCCATTAGATTGCCGCACTGATGGTCATGAGATGTATATGTTTACAACAAAATGGTTCAAATCATTTGTTGCAACCTCTCAGGGCGATCTTTAGATGTCGCCCACAAGGGGGATCTATGGACAGATGTATTTTCCCCTAAAATGCTTGATCACCTAGTAGCCTAGTACAGGAGTTTTTTTCCGAAAGGGTTGCGTGTCCCAGGGAGGGGGAGGCCAGGGTAGGTATATAATTGGAACATGTAGGAACCAATGGTCCATTCGGTCCATTGGGGGACTTCTAGGTTTGGTTCCGAAACTATTTGCTTCCCAGCGATTTAATCTTGAGATGTTCCAAGGCATTCATGCTTGTAGGTTGCAAATGAAGGTGCTTGTGCCAGTTCTCATAACCCAGGATAGATCAAACGAAGCAATGAACACAAGCAATATCAAGCAACTATATATCAGAACACATTCACCTGTTTAAGTCACCCCTGCTGAATTCAGCAGTACATCACCTCCACCGCCAAAGAATTCACCATCCCATGTCCCCAAACTTGCCTCCTTTTCATCGCGATGAGCGCGATGGCCTCGGGACTGGCGCCAGGTCATTCATGGTGCACATTGCCCTTCTGACGCTGCAGTTGAAACAAGGGGAGGATAATCGAGGTCCTGATATCTTCATGGCACAAATGAGACCCCCCTAACAACTGATTCCTGAAAATGGATTTGGATCCGGGGTGGAAGTTTCCGATCCACCTGGATTCAAACCTGTGAATTTCAAGAATAATAGATCTGGGAAGACCGCCATTCTCCTTCATCCACCCAAAAAGGGTTCATGACCTCATCCTGTTCCTCACGTTTTGGCTCCAAATCTGGTTTGGCAGGGTGAATCAACGGCTGCGGGAGTGGGGGGTTTCCTATGCCTGTTATCCATAGGATTGCCCACAGCCCGAGCGACTTCTTATTGAACATAATCACCCCGTCTCGGTCCCAGTACGAACTGGTCAATGCGTGTGCCTGTTTAGCAAACGCTGATGGAAAACATGGCTTGTTACAAAGGACACGCTTTCAATCATACTCCTGACACCAGTTGTATAAACCCGACACATCCTGGGGCGATCCTGCGCAGTTGCACCTTTGCACCATGGGTGATGAGTATGGAAGGAACATGGTGTTCAATTGGATGTGCCCCGATTCCAGCCATAGGCTGCCTGTCCATAGTTGCAATGTGTTGCCGTTTGGGTTTGTTCACTCGACACAGCGTAATGTGCAAGCCATCTCAACTTCTCTGGGAAGAAGCAAGAAAACATCCATCAACCTCTGATGAAGCCACCTCTTGAAGTCACTTAGACTTTGATCCTAAAAAGCTCCACCCCCCCAAGGCGCCGCCTGTAGAAAAAGCAGCAGGCCCAAAAACACACCTCCTAAAACACTTGCAGAGAACAAACAAAGCAACCGAGGAAGCCACCCGGCGCTTGGTGGAAGAAGTTGGCCTCGAGAAGCTTCTTGGAAAATCGATTTTCCTGGAGGCAGGGACGCTACTAGGCGCTCCTGGCACCGCTACTAGCAGCAAGCACGCTACTAGGAGCCATGTCACTGTAGCTCCCAAGGTGACCTTCACTGCAAAGAGCCAGCCATTGGTCTCGCACCACCTGGCTGAGGCAGGCACACCATTCACCGGTTCAATCATTTCTATTTAAAGGGTGTTTTGGGATTGGTGCAGGGTCCTCGTTCATTGTCCAACCAGTTAGCCGTTCCGGCCGGTTTGGGGGTTGGTGTACGTTGCATTTGTTTCTAGACCTTGCCCTCCCCGTTTTCCTACTTGGGGCTGTTTCTTTGATTGCGTGTTCTTGACTTTTCTTTTCAACCCAAGAGTGACTCTTGAACTTCAAGTCATGGCTTGGTTGTTGTTTTCTGGGGTCCTCATGCGCGTGTTTTAGATTTTTCCCAGCTGAGTCTACGCGGGCTTCAATTGGTCATTCATGTCCCACAAATGCCCTTAGGTGGCATTGTACAGGGCCCCAGCGGCACCTTTGTTTGAGGCGACCGTTGGGAATGAAGCTGCGCTGTTGTGATGTCAACCAGGATCCTCCGCCCACAGCCAGACTCCAACTCCATCCCCCACTCCGAAGACATAAGGCTCCAACGCTTCACTGAGCAGTTCTATCAGCGCTGCTTTGTAGACCCTCACATTGATCGGTGTGATCCTTGGGAGTTTTGCACCCTGCATCGAGCATGGGAGAGTCAGTCGGATTGCAACGTCGTGTCCGGTCAGATCTTCGGTATCTGGTCACCTCTGGAGGGAGGTTGTACAAGGAGTGGAACGGGGAGGGAGGTCGCTGTCCTGACTTTCCGTTACCTAGAGTTGCCCAGGGCAACTCCTGTGCCCGTAAAGAATTGCATCACTCTGCGAGAAGTCAAGGACGGGTACCAGCAATCTCCGTCAAGACAAGTCCCGGGGAGCATATGTTAGAATTCTTAGATTCAAGCGGCAATGACTCGTACTCGTAGCACGTTCGCACTCCAGATGACGCCTCATTCATGAAGCAAAAGGGCCAAAAAGCACGAATTAGCAGCCTGGCAGCCTACCATAGATGTGTCCGCATGTGTCATGTGTCCACTGTAATTAAATTCATAAGATTTCATCAGTACGCTGTTCAATTTACATTTAAGTTGAACTCATTTTGCCTAAACGCACCTTTGCCTGCTTTTAATGAAGTCATTGTTTTTCCATAGGGGTTGGAATTTCCTCTGCAAAACCCCCAGCGATTTGTTTAGCCAGATTTTCTGGGTTAACATAGAGGCTTGTGAGTAATGTTATAGAGAATTGCTGTTTTTACAAGCTCGATTCTAAAGAGGTGTTGAAGTGATGGTGCAGTGGATCTTAGTGCCTCAGGCATACTGATTCTATAGAGAATTGTTAGATATTGTTAGCATGGATTTGCATGTCAGGGACTGCAGTTCTATAGAGATTGATGTTTGGTCAGTTGTTCGAGTTCAAAACTCGTTTGATTCCGAGAGTACGCAATTGGGATTGCTCAGAACCCTGGGGAATGGGTTCTTGGACGACCTTCGACACCATAGAATCACAGACCCTTACCTGTCCATGACACCCTTTTTTATCCTTTTTTTTTCTATATAGAAATTTGTGGTCCTACCAACCGGGGAATCAATGCCTTCTTGTGGACAATTGCATTGTTCCTGTTTTCTTCGGAACCTTGTACCTTGATTTTATTGAGACCAATTTTCTCACTCCTATTGAAACACACCCATTCGTCGGTACCTCAGGACCTGCATTTTATATAGCAAAATCATCAATGCTCGCAACTCTCAATTCTATAGACCTGATTCCTTGTTTTTGTACTTTTTTCCTATGTCATTCTCAATTTTATAGGGTCAACAAGTCAACAAGTGACCATTTTTGAGGGGGGTTGGTTCCAGCATTTTAGCACTATCAAATCGCTACCCCGGGGTACCCACTTAATACCAACCCCTATGTTGTTCCTTAAATTTTGGGGATGCCACGGTGTTTGGGGGGGGCCCCTTCCACTCCACCGCCGGAGCACTCCGCCCGTTTCAGCTTCATCGCGGAGCACTCGGAGCCCCACGGCCGGCGCTTCGCCTCCTGGATCGCCGCGACTTGGAGCGAGCGACCGGGAACGGAGCAAGAGGAGACTCCACTGGACACGAACGGTGGAGTGGCTGCGCATACTACCAAACGGCTAATTCTTCTAGATCTAGCAGCTGAGAAATGAGAGAACGGAAGGGTGAAAGAGAGCGAGTCAGCTAGTCCGGGGTGTCGGTCACTGATTTGGACCTGGCGTGGATGTGAGATTGAAGTCCTCCGTGTTGGAGCACCCCAAAATGAAACTGCTGGGAGTATGTTCGCCCGACCTGTGCGCAGCCAACGGCCGACACCATGCGGTCAATCAAGGTATTTGTGGTGCCATGACCCACAGCCATATGTCCATGTCTATACATTGAAGTGGTTGAATAGGGGTCATGGTGGGTCAATGTATAGATGACATATTCCACACCTGGAGTGTTTGGGTCATTTTGACCATTTACGCGTTGACCAGTGCACTCCCTGATATCATTCATGGATTAGTTGAGTTTACCACCAACCTGTCTTCGGATTTCAGGGTCCTCTTCGGATTCCATCCATTTCCATAATTATTCCGGAGTACGTGAGTTTGGAGGGTTGATCAAAAGAGGCATCAACAAAAGCCAGCATCAGGAGCACAGCATTGACTCCAACCCCCGGTCCGACCATTTGGGCAATTTTTGTGTAAACCGTCGCTTGGGAAGACTGAACTAGGAGCACAGGCTTCCACATGTATACCCAACACAAACGGAACATCTGAATGTATGTATACGAATTGATTTGGTAACATTTGGTAACCTTAAGAGATCAAACATTCTCTGTAAAGCCGGTAGATAGAGCGTGTTGGGAGCTTTTGGTGGGTGCTGAGTCGGTGCTGAGCAAAAGCCTGCCAATACCATCGACCATCATCGACCTACTTGTATGTATGGGCTGCCATGATTTGCCATGTTTGTTATATTGTGTCCTGGTTGTGAACATGTTTGAAGAGAGACCGGGGAGTAGACCGGGGCCATCCGGGGTCCCACACAGTTGCGGCTTATGCCCTCCTCACCGAGGAGAAGTTGGGCTCTGGCAACCTGTGGACCCAGGAGAGGAGGACTCGGCCCAAGATCCTTAGATGCACTGATGAGGCAGATCCAAGACGAGTCAGACCAAAGAAAACCGAGATGCAAAGCGCATCACGGTTGGTTGGCCTGAGATTTGGGCTAGAGAATTGGAACCTTGAGTCTCCACCAGGGTGGTGAAGGAGCTTAGCAGCTAATAGCACGAAGCTGCTGTAAATGCACCCGTTTAGACGACTTTTTGCCGCAGAAAATGGCGTCCTGGAGAGGTATCTGAAGGGAGGTCTAACAACCAATTCAATGCTGAAATGCTGTTGCGAATGATGGGGTAGAATGAAAAGTCCAGGGTGAAGCATTGAATGTCAACAGACATTAAATTAGCCTGATTGCTTAAGGTCCGTGTTTTTTTGCCGCACTTAATCCATTAGGATCGTTTAAGCAAATCCATCAGGATCGTTTCCGCTGTGGAAGTTGATTCAGGATACCCATTGACCCGTTGGGACGATCTTCTCAAATTGCCAGACTCAGGAAGTTCATGCACTTTGGCGATGAGACTATGCAGGCACGGACGTGCAGTATGGCAGATCGCCGGCTTGAGAGGACGATGGGCTGTTGTTTGGTAACTTCAGGTGAACTACAGTCCATACAGTACAAGTCCCTGCAATTCTTTTTTAGCAAAACACACACCCAACACATCCCAACACCATATAATTATAGAATGGTGATAACATATGATAACACCATATTATATATATTATATTACATTATATTATATACTATATTATATCATATTTATATATATATATATTTGTATTGTATTAACCCTTTGATGGAAGAACTTGCTCAAACATCCAGGGAATCCAGGTGGCCAATGTGTTTTCTGCGACTTGAAAAGGAGAAGAAGTCACATCACCCGGGAAACATCCTAAGTGCGTACTCAGAACACATTTTCTAGTCCATTCATGGGGTTTCCCCCATGGGAAACCGGAAACGTGCCTCCCTCCCTCCGCCCCCGACAGGTCTCGCATGACCGCAGCAGCTCCCACTTCGCGGCCTGGTATTCACCGAAGCCCGGTGGACACCGAAGCCCGGGTCGAGGTGTTCAGAGCCACCGATAAGGGTCAAGGGTTTTGGAATGAGACCCATACCATACCGTTTAATTAGTTTGTTTCCCTTTCCCCAGTGGTTTGTGGTCTTCCGTCTATAGATTTTCACGAGCTACTCCTATACTGTATTTTAAGCATTTTTTGGCGCGTGTGTGCGTGTGCTCTTGGCTGCTATTCAAGCCGCCAGAACTTCAGATCCTTCACCAGGCGAGGCGAACACGGGCGCCGTGTTCCACCGTTCCACAGGTGTTCCACTCTGTGGAGCCATTCCCGGGCTCCTGAAGTGAAGGTCTATCTGTGTCTTTCCTCCATAGCCGGTCTTACTTCTTCTAGCCGGCCCTGGAGCCCGAGGAAGCGCGAGCCCGAAAAGCTGGGGCAACACTTCAAACCTGAGGAGACCGAGACGAGACGCGGCAAACGACGTCGTGGAACGAGAGACGTCGAGACGTCCAGACGTTGGAGACGAGGCGGTGAGAAGGTTGGTTTCGGACGACTGCGTTTGTTCTTCGGTCGACTCTGTTGAACGGGTGAGGTTGGAAGACTTCTGTTTTTTTTTAAAAAAAAAATTGTTTTCAATGGTTGACTCTGAGTGTCAGAAGTAAGAAACGATGGACTTAGATTGTGTATCACTAATATCACTCTATGATGTAAATGATAGTTTTTATTTTAGGTGTGTTCAGGTTATGCCTCAGTTTTTTTAGTTCATCCCATTTAGCAGGAAGGGCACAGGGTATACTCCATGAGCAGTTGGCTGTAGACAACAGATTTTTTGCGAGGTCCCTTGAAGCAAGCGCTTGTTGTAGAACACTGTCCAACGAAATGCAAACCACCGGTATGATTGAATTGCGTAAGCTCGATTTGTTCGCATCACCAAATCGGTGTACGTCATACCTCTTATACATGCGCATTGGGTCTCTTTGTAGTTGGAGGTCGACCGCAATTTCTTGGATGCAGGATGCGCGTGTTTGGATGCGGCTGCACTTCTGGGCTGCTCGCGAAACAGGCCGTCCCATGAGTTCCTTCGACAGGTTCTGAGCACAACTCTGCTAAATTGTTGGAAGAACCGAGCCGAGTCCAAAAGAGCCCTTCTTCGATCAAAGTTTCTCAATCAACCTGTTCCTTTCGTGTTGACAGGCATGGTTGTCGTGCAGCTATATTTAGTGGAGTTTTAGAGATTTACAAATTTACAATCTATAAGACCAATGTTTTAGAAAACAACACCTTGCTAATGTTGGATCTTGATAAGTACCGGGGGGGTCCCCCTACAGCTATGCAAATAGGAGACTGCCTATAATAAACTACCACCGAAACAAATCTGGATTCCTGGGAGGTTTCCTTTTGCAATTGATTGTATAGTATTCATTGTCCTTTCATAGATGTATTGATTTTCATTTTTCTTGTTCTTTGTATTTATTCTCAGCCTCAGAGCTCAAGAATAGTTTTGAAGAAGAACCAGGGAAACATAGGGAAACCGGGAAACCTTTGTCATTTGTATATATAATTACCATTGCTTTAGTAGTATTGAGATCTTAGGAAAGGATGCATGTTTACAATTTTCCCAGGGGGGAAACACATTTCATGATTGACCGCCCATTGAACAAATCTATGATTTAGGATCACGGCCTAGCTAGAAAATGTGCTCCTAAATCAAGGAATTGGTGGCTTGGGGAAGCTGTCAGCTGGGAAGAACTAACTAGAGAAACCTGTATCATGTGTATAGTTGCCATTGCTTTAGTGGTATTAAGATCGTACGAACGGATATTTTCCCTGTGAGAAAATCTGCAGTAGATGACTAGTGACTAGCAGATAGAATATACAACCATAATGTGTTGCGGATTTGATTATTTGCTCCGCGAGGCATAGCCAAGATAGAATACAAGATTTTGACATATATGAGATAGAATTCGCAGAATGGAGATGGAATATGTTTATTGAATCTGGACTGAACGGCCCCTTGTGTATTCCAGGGTTTGTGTTTTGGAGGTGTGCACTCCTCAAAACTTTTCAGCTACTGTACGGTAATCTTAAAATCTGTTTGTTGCAATCATGGCAATCTCAAAACTCATTCTTTGAGGTCATTGCTATTAGGTTGGAGGTCACCACTGACACACATAGTACTAATGACACCACAAATTCTATTTGCACATCGCTGCCGGATCCTGGGATGTATTGTTATTTCTTTTTGATTCTAACTGTTTTAGATATTGATGGCTTTGGGAAGCTGTCAGTTTTGAAGAAGTAGATATATAAACCAACATCATTTATGTTTTGTATATGATTACATATTATGATCATTGCTTAATTACATAGTATCAAGATCTCAGCAAAGGCTTCCGCTGGGGAAAGCAACCTAGTTACCAAAAAAACCAAGCATAGTTAACACGACAGACGACCCTTGAAACAAACAAGGGTTGAACAATTGAACAAATCGCAATCTTGATGACCCTGCTAATGGTGATTCAACAGTATAAGCGGAGATGCTCTTCACGTCTCGTCGCCACCTCCGAAGGGTCGGCCCCCGTGGGTCGGAGGCATGTATGAAGAGCATCCCGAATTCATGGACTACTACCAGCGCTTCATTGGCCCCTGGTCGATGGCGAAGGAAGTCCGTGTGTGGATGATGCCATCGTGGGTGGTGTTTCTTTTGGAGTGTGTGCTGAGGTCACTATGGTCCAGGATGGTGAACTTCTTAGGGGGTTCCGGAAGCTGTTGCTCAAACGCAATAACCAAGCATGTCGAAAGAAACCATCCAGGCACAACCAGGCACAACCGTTGCTGGGATTGCTCGTTGGTTTCGTCCTCTCAGGCCATTTCATCAGCATCTACTCCTCCAAGTCGCCGCCCTTCACACGGGAGTCCGCGCGCTGGTCCGCAGACCCTGCCAACATCGAACGATACCAGAAGGCGCGGTGTCGGCTGCGTGAGTGGCTGCGAGTGGGACCAGTTCTGTTGGACATATGGGGTCATGGGCACAATATTAATGCAAAGCATCCAGCCAAATGTGATTCAGTCTTATCAAAAGGAATTCTGAAGCAGTTTCTGTCTATACCTTCTTCCCTATCTACGTCGACACGGTCGTGTTTCCATCCGGTTTCCATCTCCACGCCTCGGGTCCCCACACCAGGCGGGAAACCGCATGCTGGACGTTCTGGGGAAGGACGTGGACCAGGAGCTGCAAAGACTTCCAGAGGAGGAACGGAGTCTCGGAGCCTTTGGGGTCGAATTGACCCATTCGAAAAACCTTCCTGTTCATATTCACTCAGTGCGTTGGCATATCGAAGTTGCGCGTAAGCAAAACCTGCACGCGCGTAAGGTTGCGTAAGCTTTTGTTTAAACGAAACCTTTTGCGTAAGCCATGCGTAAGCTCTGAAGAAATACCTGAGAAATACATGAGCACCCCTCTCAGAAGTGCCAGGACTAAGGAACAGTCCAACTCCACACACATACACAATCCAAACTCGAATTGCTGAAAACACAGTCCAAACACCACAGCTGAACAGTCAAACCTCCGTGTCAGACATGAGAAACTCCTGGTAACTGTTTTGAGTTCCGGCGCGTAAGCTCCGGTGTCCTTTTCCACCAGTAGCCCACATGCCTCCTTCTCCGAAACCGTTGCGTCAGCGGCAGCGTGTGGTTGAAGACCTCTATATACAATGTGGTTTGCGTATCGCCCTTCCACTTCCACTTCTCCACTTTCCTGCTGCTGCTGCTGCTGCTGTTGGGTTGCTTCTGCCTTTGAGTTTTCTTCATCCTAATCCTCAAGTGCTTCTTCAGCATCCATATCGGAAGATTAGGTGTAGTAGATGTCCATTGCACAAAGTATGCAGCGCGTAAGCTCACGTTGTGGTGTCAGCTGCATTTTGTGCAAAACAGGTGTCGCGTAAGGTCTGCGTAAGCCCTTCTTGCTCCAAGTGCACCGCGTAAGCAAAAATGTGAGTCGCGTAAGGCAGCGTAAGCACAGGCGTAAGCACAATGATACGACATGGGATTTCATCAAGGTTTTCAGAACCGCTCAATTGGGGTCGAATTGGAGGAACAGAACTCGACACCTGGCTGGGGGCACTGGACCTACCAAGAAGTGCACCTGCCCCAAGCTTTTTCTGGGGATGTGGGGACACCCCGCTAAAACAAGAGCAGCGTGGAAAAAAAAAAAACAAAACTTTTACTTTTCGGAAACTGATGGAAACTGAGTGGATCAATGTAGGCACTCGGGATCCAGTTATACAATGACATTATGATGCAGCAAAATGTTGCTGCTGCTCCAGTTCTGAGTGGCATGCAATAGTTTGCCAGGTCCTAGTTACTAGTTGCTTGTTGTGATTAACAGATTCAGCCTTGTCACTTATAAATTATACATTGTAAGTGAGTGCACTCCAACAAACCCAATACTTGTCAGCTCAAACAATTGTTCTTCCAAAAACTAGGCGTCTTCAGTCCTGGAATCTGGCCAGATCATTTTTAGACCCCCTAAGCATCATTGGACTGGAGAGTCTTGACGTGGTCCAGGGCCGCAGGGGTTTTGGGACTGGATTCACCAACTTGAGGGTCCGGAGGCGGTTCCGCAGGCGGTTCCGCAGGCGGTTGATGCCCCGTCGCCCCCCCTCCACGGCAGAGGTCCGCTCCGTCGCCCGTTGGACGTCGCTCGACGGTGATGCTCAGGATCTACACCGGCTCCCGTCATCCCAATCCTGCCTGGCCATACGGAATTCAGAAGTTCTCCTTGACTTGAGGTGCGGCGGAAAGAGACGGAGGAGGGGGTGAATTCCGGGGAGCTGCAGAATGCGAAAAAGGAGTAGTGAATTCCTTGGCACAAATGGAAGGATTGGGTTCATCAACCTCAGATGGGGGCCACCCTGGGAGTTTGCATCAAGCATGCAGGTTGACTGCGTTGACGGTGCATCATGTGAGAAGGATGTTAATGTCAGATGCACAGACTATAGCAAATAGTGATATGTGACTATTAAAATACTAGCCAGTAACACCGTCAGAGCAAATAGGAATATATATATATATATGGACCCTGGCCCATTCCTGGAGCGATACCAGTTCGAACTGGTTCCCATTATGGCCAATGGAATGAGACGGCCCCAATTGGATCCTGTAAAGGTGAAGGTCGCAAGGTGACGTGCGTTTTCGGGAGTGATGACCGAAGAAGGTGCTGAAAGGCTGAAAGGGGAACGGGATGAACATGGATGAACCCCTTGCTTGAGCTTGCGCCTGCTTTGTTCAGGCGCTCTTGGTTTTCCCAGGCTCTTGAGAGGCTGAGAGTGTCCAAAAAGAGGAAGATTTCGATGGTAGGCGCTTCAGCTATTTCACAGTGCTTAGCGCGCTTGATTGTACAGGCCTGGTTGGCAGTGGTGCAAGCCGATGATGTGCTTGCACCCTTGGCAGCCTCAACCCTGGAAATATGATGGGTTGCTGCTGTCTTATCCACGCCCAATGAATACCGCTCGGCATAGTTCATTTCTTTGCAGGTATGCCGCAGATCAGTTGTGCGAGTGGAATGTGAACATGACCACTTACCAGACACTACTGTACTTTCCTGTACAGATTCGACTTTTTTCCATGCCCATGTTTGTTAGTGTCAGAGTTGTCAGAGCGAAAAGACAAAAGAAGAGCACAAACCCACGGAACCAGGCAGTGAAAGAAGTCAATCATGACCAACACTTTTTTTGGTTTTATCCTGTAGTAAGCATGAATCTTCCGGATTCCAGATCTCTCGTTTTGGTTAATGTTGTTTTCTTTGATGTCTTGGAAGAGGAACACCCGACTTGAACTGGGCCAAAAGGTGTGTTTGTGTTTTACAGGTCGGACACATGGCGTGGTATTCATGGGACGGAGTCTTATTTTTGAAGGCTCAAAGATCCCGAAAGGAAGCTAGACATGAAGGAACTTGTATCAGACTGACTGAATCGACTCCCTTTTGACAGAAGAGTGTATCTTTGGAGCCTTTCATTCATTCAAAACAATTTTTGAATGCGCCGAAGGCTGCACGCCTTTGTGAACAGTTGAGAACTCTCTCCAGAACGCATAAGCCGATCCTGCTTGTTTGGTGGGGACTCTATTGGTGCCATTCATCGTCATGCAATTGTTTCTTCATGCCAATGACGGCCCATAGTTGCCCGGGTGGTTATCGCTGGCAAAGAGTCGGGTTCATACTGTTTTGGCTATTACATGCTAATACTAGCTGGAAGTGCTGAAGGTGCTGTGAACTGTGTGGAACGATTAAGTAATTAATAACTTCAACTTCATCTTAGTCATAAAACGGCATACGTATATATAGGCGTTTGATGAAGTTATATAGATCGTTTACTGCTTCTGGTAGCTGGCAGCATGAAGCAGCAGGAGCAACCTCGGAATTGGGTTGTCCAACCAACCAGTTGCTATAGATGATTTGTTGAAAGGTGGTTGCGTTCATGCGTGCTGGAGCACCCAAGCAAGCCCGCAGAAGCTGCGGGTGGTTAGCAAAGCGGAACTGATCATGATGAAAAAGACGTGTTTCTCGTGCGGCTGTCCGACCACCCAGATGACCCAGACTGGCAAAATCTCTCAAGGCACTGGATGACTCCCCAATTTCTCCAACTAAAAAAACACACAAGGGGACATCCACAGATTTGCCATAGATGAAGCACAGTGGCAGACTTGTTGGGGAGGTTTCTGGCTGCCACGTAGTCTAGAAGCAGCCAGTTGTTCCTCCCGAGAACGCCTGATTCTGACAGATGGACCTTCGCATGCCTTCACGCATCCTCGCGCTTCATTCAATATGCATGTATGCACCCGTTTAATATAACCTCCCTCAAGAAACACATTTTAAGAACACCCCTCAGCCCTCTCAAAACATGGATTTCCTGTCGTTGATTTCGTGGTCAAAACCAAAAGGCTTCCTCCCCAGCCCTTTTCACAGGAGGCAGCCCCACCCATGGTCCGGGCGCCAGCCTCGCTGCGCGTGGCGAGTTTTGCCGGGCTGGTTGCGCTGGGTCGGCGCGTGGCGAGTTTCGCCTTTTGATCAAAGGGTCAGTTCATTGGTTCATTGGTCATGTAGACGGTTGATGGTTCGATCCCTTCCCTAGCAGAAGGCCTTTACAGCAACTCTAGGCTGCGTAGTTGATTCATAAAGAGTCTACAGGAGTTCGTCGAGAGCGGAAGGTAGTTTCAAGGTCCTTCCTCCAATTTCAACTGCATTGTTCAATGCTGAATTGCTTAATGTTGCTTCATCATCATGTCAATGCTCCCTTCGGACGCGAAGTGGTTGAGGCTCGAGGGAGTTCGGGCTTAGTTTTTTTGTTGGAGACCATGAATAAGGCTTTAGGCGCAACATGCGCCTGGCATTCTGTCGCCACACGTTGGCTACTTTCGCGTTGTGAGTGAAGAGTCTTCGTACCAAGTTGCCAAGTGAAAGGCCTTGAGTTCAACTAGTGGAAAGCTAGTTGATGCCAATAGAACTTCTAGCTAGAAGCCGAAGTCTTTTGAAAAGCCAACAAAGTAGAGACTTCACTTCTAGTGTTTTAGGGCAGATGGCCTCCAACAAATTCCATAGGATCCGTATCAACCAACTCTTAGTTTTGTTGCCATCTAGACCTGTGTATAAAAAGATTTATGATGATCCATGTTTTTGGTGTCCTTCACCGCAGCACGGAATCTGCGGGAATTGTTCTCCTTCATCCTACCAAGTCAGACGGTGCAGTTGTTTGCGTTTGAAAACCGCACCGAGGTTCAATCGTTGTTTCAGCCTGGGCATCTCAGCGGTCGGTCGGGTGGTGATACACAAGCGGTGGTTGTGAGCGGTGGACGCTGGTCAAAAACAGAAACTCCTTCCATATCCTTCCACTACCCACACTTTCCCTTCTGAATTTATAGTTAATTCATGACAGGAAGCTTGTCATTCCGACTCATTCCCAAAAAGCCTCTTAGAGCGCACATCACATAGAAGTGGACCAGGTTATTGTGGGTTTAGGGTGGCACCGGGAACTGTGGAATTTTGTCAGGAGGGCTGTCGCGGGAACGAGGCATTTTGGGATGCGATGAAAGCCGAGCGTTGAAAGCCGTTGAAAGCCGTGTCATTGAAGAAATCCCGCGCTGTCGTAAGTCCAGCCATTCTACCAGAATCAGGTATGGGCAGAGAGTCCAAAGGTAAAACCCTATAGGGTTTCATGGGCTGGGCTTGCAGGTCTAGCAACTTGTGAGGATGTGGTATGAACCCTAGGGACATGACACGAGCAGACACATGTTGTTGGGTGGAGTTTGCTGATCTATATATACTTCTGCTCAGTACTTTCTTCAGACCAGGAGATCGGGTCTCGCAACCTGGTTTTTGGGGCCACCTGCCATGGCTTTCGGACACGAGGTCAGCCACACCCGAGCCTTATAGCTCGGTGTTCTGAAGAAAACCCCTTCAACCACAGTCGGTCGCCGAAGCATCACAGGCCTTCCACCACCCCCCTAAAGGCGGAAAACAACCGGCTTTTTCTCAGCGCAGGGGAGGCGATTGGATGGTCATGTTATGGTAAGTTCTCGTCGGGGGGTCTAGGACTCCATTTAGCAACAATTGCCCTGTTGAATCATTATGCCCTCTAGTGATATAAGGCCGCGAGATGGGTCACAGGGTCTAAATCAGCAATCTAGATTTAATGCACAATCTAGTTGCACCCCTGTTAACAGTCTAATCTGCGTATTTGAACTTCGAGGATGAAGCCAGCTGAGTCCAGGTCGGCGATGGCCCATAGTCCTGGCCACTTCTGGCAGGACCTTTACAGCCTTTTCCAGGTCCGCTGGGCGGTTGTGAAGAGCTGCAAACACCACGTTTCATGGTTTCCTTGGAGCAGAGGTTGCACAGGATTGTGGACATTTCTTTGGAAAAAAGATTTGGGAGTTGGGCTGGCAGTTTTGTGGGATAAGACGGGATTCAGTCATTCATTCTTCATCATTTTTCGATGCCTGTGGATAGGAATGTTGAACATGTTAAACGAGTGTCATTGAGTGGCTTGACCAACCACAGCAGGCTCCGGGAGTTCTCCCAAGCTACTTCGACTCCTGTGGAGTTGGAAGGTTCTTTGCGGTTTCTTGCACCAAAGGGCTCGTCTTGCCAAGACCCAAGCAGACTGAGCCTGATATACATATGCACCCATGTGGCGTTTTTCTTGGACCTCGGATTTGTGATTGGAGATGCTGGACATGCGTACTTCACCGCCAGTAGGTCAAGTGATGAACATGTACACAGTTTTCAACTTAAGATGTTCATGTTCTCCTCCGCTCCAGTGGACCAGGCTGATGACCAGCTGGCCTCGGCTGCAGGCAGGGTGGAAGCTCCATTTTACTCATCCAGCAGGGTGAAAGAAGATGCCAAGATCTACCCTTCAACTACTGAGCAACCAAGCTGGGAGAGGAAGTCCTCATTTCTTGTGGATTGCGCAGTCCACGGAGCTCCAGGGATCAACCGCGCCTCTCGGGGCCCATGAGACTCCAGCTGCAGTAAGCCCTCTGAACAAAGATGAGGGTGACTGCAGTATACAGACAGATGTAGATGTATATAGTTGTCAATCTAGGTAGATGACCCCTCGTGGCACCGTCCAAGGACATGCCGCAGTGCCTGTGGTGAATTTCCACATCATATTCCTACCCCCACCGACAGATCCAAGCTCCAAAGGTGGTGTTCTATACCAGTATATATATATATATCATATATATATATATTAAAATATTGACTTCGCACTGCATGCCTAGCAGCTAGTCTAGCACTCACCATTCTTCCAAATGGTCTTTCCTGGAAAAGTATGCAGGAAACCCATAGTTGTTTAGGGTAAAAAACACTGGGTTTCCTGAAGCCAATCGATTGACTCAGAACCATCAAAGTGCAGAAGAAGGCACTTCTTTGGAAACCCATTGTTTTTGACAGTTTTGACTCAGAACCATTCGGGTCCCATGTTAACTGCAGTGGCGAGGGCACTTCTACAATTGGCGCCGCTGGCGAGGTGATGAGCAGGAAGCCGTCGAGGCGGTATTGGACCAAAAACGGGAGGGGCGACCGTTTTGTTGGACTGGGCGGATCGGGCGGATGTTGGATTTGGCAGGCGACAACCCTTCTAAAGACATGGAAGATAGACTATATAGTCTACCCATTGCAAGATGGGGACCTCCCTATGAATTATGAGGTTGGGAGTTGCCGGGTGACTTCATCGACCCTGTCGGCGCCGAGAGCCGAGAGCCTCGGTTCGATGGGAATTGAATTCGCTCCTGAAGTCGATTGGAACCCATGGAAATGCATGGAAAGGTCGAATGGTTGGAATCTCCTCACCACAAGTTATACATTGAAAATGGGTAATTAACAATTACTGTAAACCCCTGATCATTGAAAGTGATAGTTTGGTCTTTGATTGTGATAG